ATCATAACGAAGTCGGACATCTCTAAAGTACCGGTATCATAATGAAGTCGGACATCTCTAAAGTACTGGTATCATAACGAAGTCGGACATCTCTAAAGTACCAGTATCATAACGAAGTCGGACATCTCTAAAGTATAAAAAGTGTTGGACTGCAATAAAGCTTTAAAATATATTAATAAGACACGAACAAATTGTGTCAATAGAACAATATGAGTATATGAGTTAGCTTTAATAATAATTGTACATTATACAGAATTAAACGTTTCGGCACATGCCTTCATCAGTACAAACAAACACAACACATTTAAATAAGTATAAATTAAATTTACATAATGTCAATATATATATCCTACCTAAAACAGAAAAAATATAGGAGAGGGCGCTTAAACCTGACAAAAACAAAGTAAAGAGATGTAGAAAGGAAGTGATTCAAACATAATTGGAAAAACCAAACAGGAAAAAGACATGGCAGCTAAGTAAAACTATGGATTTGGTTCAATCCATATGGAGACAACGTACCAAATCTAGTTATTAATTTGTTCTCCATATAGATTCTATCTGCAGTGTTACTAGTATAGAGTATACCAGTAACTACAATATCTGAGATACCATTATGGTTAGGGCTATTGAAATGTTTGGAGACCGGACAGAGAGCGTGTTTATTTATGTTATAGAGGTGCTCTCTGAAACGGTCCCCAAGGCGACGACCTGTCTCTCCTATGTATAGTTTACCGCACTTTTTGCAAATGATGGTGTAAATCACGTTGCGACTTGTGCAGGTAAAGCCATCTTTTATTCTGAATACTCCCAGAGGGAAAGTGATCGTATCAGTTTCGATCACATAGGGACATGAGTTGCAACGGCTACGGTTGCAACATTTTGTGCCTTTATATGCTTTAATAGCAGGGAGGTGGCTTCTAACTAGCATGTCCCTAAGGCTCTTGTCCCGCCGGAAAGCGAAAAGAGGAGGTTTTCTAAAAATCGCATTTGTGACAGGGTCCGCCATAAGAATGGAGCGGTTTTTAAGAACCAGAGAGCGAGCTTTTAGGTTGTGGGGATGAAAAGTTAAGATAAATTTAGACCTATCGCTAGTGTCAGAATGAGTAGCTTTAAAAGAAGCCTGTCTAGTCATACCTTTAACTCGAGTGACAGCTGCTTTTAAAATTTCTTCGGGGTATAATCTGCGTCGGAAAAAATCCAACATTTCAGACATTCTTTCTCCAAAATCTTCTTCATTACTACATAGTCTTCTGAGTCTCAGCAACTGAGAAAATGGGATGGAGTTTTTACACCATTGAGGGTGTATCACAGATCCTTCAGATCACAGTCTATCAGAGTGAATTCTTTATGGTAGACTTGTATCACAGATCCTTTAGATCACAGTCTATCAGAGTGAATTCTTTATGGTAGACTTGTATCACAGATCCTTTAGATCACAGTCTATCAGAGTGAATTCCTTATGGTAGACTTGTATCACAGATCCTTTAGATCACAGTCTATCAGAGTGAATTCCTTATGGTAGACTTGTATCACAGATCCTTTAGACCACAGTCTATCAGAGTGAATTCATTATGGTAGACTTGTATCACAGATCCTTCAGACCACAGTCTATCAGAGCGAATTCTTTCTTTTTACCAGCGTGTTATTTCCAGTGGTTACCAAATCTAAATTATCACTAATTCTTCTTCTGTATATTAAGGGCCCACGATCAATGTATTGATCATTCTGGTTCCTATGTATGTAGAAGGATTTGTAATGTATCTGTGCCTGTTTTTAAGAGGACATTTCACTGGTTACAAGGTCCATTCAGCGAGGGTATCATGAACTTGGGGTAGGAAGGCCTGAGGTAAAAGACGCAAATGAGTCAAGTATTGTCGCCCCAACTGTTCCTTTTGGAAGGTTGTTCCAGTCCCTGATTGTCTTTGGCAATAATGAGCAGTTCTTATACTGGCTTCTCGTTGGTATGAGCCGGAACTGCCTGCCATGGCCTAGTCTTTTTCTATGGGGGAGAGGGACGAGTTTCTTTTTAATGCCGGAGCAGAGGACCAACCCATTATTTATCTTGTACATCATGGAGAGCCTGGATAAATGTCTTTCCTCCAATGGTGACCAGCCTAGTGTTTAAGAATTGTCACTAAAGAAGTTAGTTTATGGCTCATTTCTCGCTAGAGAAATGCTTTCGATTTCTTGTATTTAAATTGTTGTCAATGAAATGCTTTCGATTTCTTGTATTTAAATTGTTGTCAATGAAATGCTTTCGATTTCTTGTATTTAAATTGTTGTCAATGAAATACTTTCGATTTCTTGTATTTAAATTGTTGTCAATGAAAAACTTTAGATTTCTTGTATTTAAATTGTTGTCAATGAAATACTTTCGATTTCTTGTATTTAAATTGTTGTCAATGAAATGCTTTAGATTTCTTGTATTTAAATTGTTGTCAATGAAATGCTTTAGATTTCTTGTATTTAAATTGTTGTCAATGAAATGCTTTCGATTTCTTGTATTTAAATTGTTGTCAATGAAATGCTTTAGATTTCTTGTATTTAAATTGTTGTCAATGAAATGCTTTAGATTTCTTGTATTTAAATTGTTGTCAATGAAATGCTTTAGATTTCTTGTATTTAAATTGTTGTCAATGAAATGCTTTAGATTTCTTGTATTTAAATTGTTGTCAATGAAATGCTTTAGATTTCTTGTATTTAAATTGTTGTTGTCAATGTAGAATTTTGACTTGCTTTAAATATGTATTTATTTATGTGCTGAAAATGAATATGTAGAGTGTAAGTGTAAGTGTAATCAACAAACATTTCCACTTATTTGGATCAATAAATTAAAGAATCTTATCATTTCTCAGCATTTTATTAGCAAAACGCAAGGCAAAAGTACATATTTGGATCATGAACTAAAAACTCATTACAAAAGTACGTTATTAGACCATTAACTAAAAACTCGTTACAAAAGTACGTTATTAGACCATTAACTAAAAACTCATTACAAAAGTACGTTATTAGACCATTAACTAAAAACTCATTACAAAAGTACGTTATTATTAGACCATTAACTAAAAACTCATTACAAAAGTACGTTATTAGACCATTAACTAAAAACTCATTACAAAAGTACGTTATTAGACCATTAACTAAAAACTCATTACAAAAGTACGTTATTAGACCATTAACTAAAAACTCATTACAAAAGTACGTTATTATTAGACCATTAACTAAAAACTCATTACAAAAGTACGTTATTAGACCATTAACTAAAAACTCATTACAAAAGTACGTTATTAGACCATTAACTAAAAACTCATTACAAAAGTACATTATTATTAGACCATTAACTAAAAACTCATTACAAAACTACGTTATTAGACCATCAACTAAAAACTCAATATAAAAGTACGTTATTAGACCATGAACCAAAAACTCATTACAAAAGTACGTTATTAGACCAATAACTAAAAACGAAACCATAATGAATAATTATTGTTGCAAAAATAGGATTTATAAAAAAAAAAATATCATTATATATTTAACTGGTACATAGGTATAAAACTAGTTGGCTTTGAACAATCTCTCGAACGGAAAGATTGTCGGCGATTCTTCTCAATTAAGCAACTTAGGTCAGGGATCTATCCCTCACCGGGTGTTTGGATGCGACACTGTACCAAAGGTCAGCCTGCTGACACCCACCCCTTACGTGCGTTCACGACAACGGTAAAAAAAATCTCATACCGTACTAGGAGCTCTCAACATGCTGTCAATATTCTTTAACTAGATCTCTTGCGGTTAGACACCATTTTAATGATGATACCCCTCACGTGTTATTTTGTTGTTATTATTACCCATGCGACCAATGACATTGAGTAAGGTGACAATTTTTTTCTTCTCCAAATCACGTTGCTTTAAAGTTTTAATTTTAAAAACAGGACATTTAAAATCCTTTTGAGCCCCTGATGTCCAAAAAAATTAGAAATTATTTGCAATTATATTATATGGAGAGCTATTCTTTCATATCTAAATAATTATTATTAATGATTATGATTATAATTATATTAATAGTAACATAGTCTTTCATTCTGAATTGATATGTTCTGGTAGATGGACGTCTGGGAAGTGTGCCTCTGGGAGGTGTGCCTCTGGGAGGTGTGCCTCTGGGAGGTGTGCCTCTGGGAGGTGTGCCACTTAGAGTGACTGCAATTTCCAAAAAGTTAACAATGGAGGGGTTAAAGGAGCCAACAACAAAATTGATGACTACCGTGGGTCAAGTTGGCTCCTCTCCTTAGTGGTGACCCCAATACCATCATCAAATTACCATACATAAAATTCAGGGAGGCGTCCTGTGTCGTCTCTGTCCACCGTGTGAACAAAATGTCCCATGAACAAACATGTGAAGCATTTTAGTCCCCATAGCAACGCCATTCATTTGGTCAAAGAATTGGCAGTTAACCTCAAACAAATTGAGGGCGAGTACAAGTTCAGCCAATCAGAGGAGGGTTTTGGTAGGTATAAGTGGATGGGGTTTACGTTCAAGAAAGAATTGTAAAGCCAGGGATCCGTCAGTATGAGGGATAAAGGTATAAAGAAAACATACATCAAGAATCAATAGATGTTTCTGCTCAAGGGGGGTAATATGGGATTCAAAAGTTCCCAAAGCGTGGTTGGTATCTTTGATGTAAGTGAGCAGTGAAGCTATGATGGAGCGTGGTTGGTATCTTTGATGTGAGTGAGCAGTGAAGCTATGATGGAGCGTGGTTGGTATCTTTGATGTGAGTGAGCAGTGAAGCTATGATGGGTTGAACAAAAAAGTGATAAAAAGTGTTTTAAAATGCACTGCTGGTGCACAATACAAGATTCATGCACTGCTGGTGCACAATACAAGATTCATGCACTGCTGGTGCACAATACAAGATTCATGCACTGCTGGTGCACAATACAAGATTCATGCACTGCTGGTGCACAATACAAGATTCATGCACTGCTGGTGCACAATACAAGATTCATGCACTGCTGGTGCACAATACAAGATTCATGCACTGCTGGTGCACAATACAAGATTCATGCACTGCTGGTGCACAATACAAGATTCATTCATTTCTTTTCCAAGTTCATCACACATCATTAATGCAAATACTAAAAAATAATTGTAATTCAGCTAAACAATGAAACATTATGCATCAAAGTTTATTATTTTTGCCCTGTGCCGTCAACAATTTGAGAACCCTAAAAATCTGAGAGCACATATCTTTCGTCTAAAAACTTCCCATCTTTATTTCTGACCACGTGAGTTCCCGGGATGACAGCCCCTTCCATTGTAACAAAGACGCCTCGGGAAGAGGAGAGTAAAACACCTAATGCAAATCCCACATTGAAGTCTGCGTCAGAGTCTTTCATGCATTCTGGCTTGTCAGCTCCCGTGAGAACCACCACCTAAAGATATGGGAACAAATTGTTTGATACTGCAGTGGTTCATACACAAAAGTATTGCATAGGATCCACTGTTAATGTTTCTGTGTGTATCTTTTGTGTACATATTTTGCAGTAAGGATTCTTCCCAATGCTATATACTATATACTATATCCTAAAGTTATTTAATTCTTCTTGAGAAAGGGATGTTTCTTAAATATGAGCATAATGTAGCAACATTGCTTTACAAGCTACACAGCTGCAAAAAAAAGTTTCCCTTATAAAGTCTAAAGCTATTTTTATTTTTAAAACATTAAATGAACTGGATTGATTATTCTGCTAAATGAATTGAATTAAAATATTTTAACTTAAAATAAAAGTAAAACAAGAAGCTTGCATATGTAGGTTAAGTGCAATTTTTTTTTTTTTTTTTTTTACAAATCGTTACCTTTTCTCCAACACCTGGACCATAGTCACTGCCCTGTCCCACTCCTGCCCGGCCTAGATACCTGGCTGTCTCACATAGTGTGTCTGTGAAAGAAGCTTGCATATGTAGGTTAAGTGCAATTTTTTTTTTTTTTTTACAAATCGTTACCTTTTCTCCAACACCTGGACCATAGTCACTGCCCTGTCCCACTCCTGCACGGACTAGATACCTGGCTGTCTCACATAGTGTGTCTGTGCCGTGAGTTATCAAGACTAGATCTTGGTTAGCATCAACAACGAGTCGAAGGATGTTTTCTCTGGACACAGAGTCATTAACCGATGAATTAATAAAGACATTCAAATGTTAAATCTGATTTCTTCTTTGAGATAAACAAGTGTTAAATAGCAGAATAAAAAACTGTAGAGCAAAAGTCAATATATAATAGATGGTATTTTTCATTAACTATTCAAAAGAACTTCACTACTGACATATAATGGATGGTGTCAGTAAGAACATTGAAGCAATTATGAGTAATTAATGCGCATGTAGAAAACAGTGATACCATAACAGCTAGAATGCGATAACATTTTAGACTGTAAATTGATTACATAACTTAATTGTTGCAACGCTTGTAAAGTAATTCTAATTCTATATTGCATCATGTAATGCAATATGTAAATTGTGTATATAATCTGAGATCTATAGACTTTTAATACAATGGTTAACTGACTTAAGTTACTGTAAGTCTATGAATGTTTTCACACAGGAAACAATAAACACAGATAAGAATTGCATGTGTGACATAAAAGGTCAAGAAATACATTTTCTTTAACTTTAATTACTTTAAATGAACATCATGGTTAAATGAATGTAAGCCACATCTTAAATTTCAGGTCCATTGGATTAGATGAATGGTGCAATGGAAATTTCAGCTTTACTAAGACTAAATAAGTGAAGTTTGATTGCCAATTAAGTGTTATTGCTAATGAAATGTGATTGCTAATGAAGTATGATTGTTAATCAAGTGTGATTGTTAACTATATGAAGCTTCCATATATGTATATTGTTTCTAATATTCCCCTGAACATGGCTTGAACACTTTCCACCATATTATCCTGTATAAAGAACTCACACTAATGGGGGGATTTCTGTCTTCACCTGTCTGTTTCTGTGATTTCCTGGCTGTCTTTAGTGCAAACGCTTTCTATTCGACATGGCAGACATGGTGAAGCACGTGCAAGAATATTAACCACTGCTGGCTGACCTATTTCATAGCCGTAGGCTCCAGGATGTTGAGGATATGTTTTATCTATTGTGCCTGGTAAAAACATTTGAAATTATAATTTATTAGTCTCTTACTCATACATTATTTTAAAAATTATTTAAAACATAATGATAATGTGCAGAAATATTTGCTCAGTTAGCATAAGCATAGTATCCATATGTTAGGGATTATTTGCTTAAATGGTCCCAGGGCGAAGGATACTCTGATTCAGCCTCAGGTTAACAAAAGATAAAGGCTAACAATAGCTCTGCACAATATATGATCAGATGGAGTTAATTAATTAGTGTTGGTTATTTTTTTCTTCACCCATTATGATTTAATGATGTGCTCAATACAGAGCCACAATGATGTAGGGTTGATTAATATAAAAGAATGATAAGAAGGGGACAATGTAAGTAAAGACTAAACAAAATTTTTAATCGATTAGCTGTAACAAATTTTTTGTTAATAATCTTTAAGTTTTTAAGAACAACATTCATAAACCTAGGAATAGTGTTAGGGTTTAGGATTTTTAGCAGAAGTGAGATTTTTTTTACACTGCCACTACAGTGGCCCTGGTTGCCATGACCAGCGTTACAAGTCATGACAACCTAGTAGGTGGCGGCATTGGGAAAGACCATGGTGTGGATAGTGAAATTTGCCAAATTCAATTAATATTAAAATAAAATATATTTTAATATTTAATTTTAGAATTTATTTTGGCCACAACATTTTGATTGTCAAACTCAAGACCCAGTGTCCAAATTTCAATGATTGCGATTTGTTTATTTAAGTGTAGTCCGTAGGGTATAAATAAGACAAAAACTTATTAGTTATTAGTATTATTTTTATTTTACAATTTGTTTTTTATTGATTGAATGGAATGAATGAATGATTATTTATAAACAATGACATTTTATGATTTTAAATTTATTATTCATCGCGCCGAACCGTTTCTATTTATGTAACTTACCACCAGTCTGAAGAATCAATATTTCTTTACAATTTGACATAGCGGTATCTATTACTAAAGTTGTAAGTTATTTTGAATTTGTAAACAGATATTGTAATAACAATTTTCTTAAGTTAAGTGAGTAGCTCTTTCATGCTACAAATGTTAAATAGAGTAATGTCCCATTGGTCCCTTTGTAGCAGGGCTGCCACTCACTTTTTTAAAATTTCCCAAGATATGGGTCATGAAATTTCCCAAGATTTCCCAAGATCATAAAAGTAAATAATTCTCCTATAGCATTGCTCTTGGTTTAGTGACAGAGTATCAAACGATATCCCGGGGGGGGGGGGG